CGAGCGCAAGAAATGGGACATATCAAACCGCAAGTGCTTGATGGTGGCTAAGTCCACAATCTCAGATGCTATAAGGGGGTCTATCCCAGACTGTGATACCGCCACGGAGTACCTAAAGAAGGTGGAGAGTCAGTTCACTGGCTCTTCAAAGGCTTATGCTAGTACATTGATCAAGAAATTGTTCAATGAAAAATATACTGCTGACGGTATCAAAGAGCACATTTTGAAGATGAGCAACATGGCTTCGAAGCTGAAGCCAATGGATTTGAGGCTCAAGGATGAGTTCCTGATTCATTTGGTTTTTGCTTCCTTGTGAAAGGAATATGAAACCTTTGTTGTTAACTACAACATGCAGCCCGACAAGTGGGACATAGAGAAGATCATCGCAATGTGTGTTCAAGAAGAGGAAAGGTTGAAGTTCTTACAGGGTGACTCTGCTAACCTTGTGAAGGACAAGAAAAAGAACTTCAATAAGAATGTCAAACCTCAAGGAAAAGCCCCTTAGACTGAGCATCATCAGAAGAACAACAATGCTCAAGTTGAGAAGGATCAATGCAAATGGTGCAAGAAGCATGGACACTACCAGAGGGATTGTCCAGACTTCATGAAGAACCTACTAAAGAGAGGTGAGCATTTCATTACATTCATAGATGAATTCTTGTATTTAAGTTATACAAAATCTACTTGGTGGATTGATTCAGGTGCAACTGTTTATGTTACAAATTCATTATAGGGATTCCGTACGAGGAGGACCCTACAAAGTGGAGAAAGAAGAATTAAAGTAGCAAATGGAGTTGAAGCTCAAGTTGAAGCCATTAGAGATCTTTCCCTAGAATTAGTTGATGGTTTTCTACTTAAGCTTTCATATGTTCTATTTGTACCCTCTTTGCGAAGAAACTTAATAAGTGTTTTATGTTTAGATGACGATGGATATGATTGCCATTTTGGTAATGACAAATGTCAGATTGTTTATAAAAATAAGTGTGTTGGTCTTGCCTTCCGACAAGACAAGCTTTATTTATTATCACTTTCTGAGAATGTGAATGATGTAAGTACTGAGAATGAGAATGCTTCCTCGTCTATGAATGCAACAAATAAGCGGAAGAGAGTGCATGATGTATCTTTGAAATTATAGCACTGTCGTTTAGGACATATTTCGAGGGGGAGAATAGAACGATTGATTAAGAAATCAATTCTTCTGCCTTTAGAATTTTTAGATTTAGAACAATGCATAGATTGCATAAAAGGAAAGTATGTTAAGAAAATAAAGAAAGATGTCAAACGAACTGCAGGAATTTTAGAAATAGTCCACACAGATATTTGTGGTCCTTTTCCTGTGAAAAGTGTGGATGGTTATGATTCATTTATAACATTCACAGATGACTATTCTCGTTTTGGCTATATTTATCCAATTAAAGAAAGATCTGAAGCATTGGATAAATTTAAAATATTCAAGGCTGAAGTAGAGAATCAGCACAACTTAAAGATTAAGGTAGTAAGGTCCGACCATGGGGGAGAGTACTACGGTTGACACACCCCATATGGCCAAGTTCCTGAACCCTTTGCAAGGTACTTACAGGAAAATGGCATAGTAGCCCAGTATTCTACACCGGGCGAGCCTCAGCAGAATGGAGTAGCTAAAAGACGCAACCGTACCTTAATGGATATGGTGAGAAGCATGATAAGTTACTCTACCTTACCGATAAGTTTATGGATGAAGGCGTTAAAAACCACCATTCATATTCTTAATCGAGTACCAAGTAAGTCGGTGCCCAAGACATCGTATGAGTTGTGGACAGAAAAGGAACCCTCACTAAACTATTTACGTGTGTGGGGTTGTCCAGCTGAGGCAAAAGCATTTAACCCAAACATAGAGAAGCTGGACTCCAAGACAATTAGCTGCCATTTCATTGGCTATCCAGAAAAGTCAAAAGGCTATCGCTTCTATTGTCCTGATAGACAAACAAAGTTTGTAGAAACAAGACATGTTGTCTTCTTGGAGGATGATATGATCAGGGGAGCATGGTAGCGCGAGAAATAAGTTTTGAAGAGAAGCGGGTATATGTGCCCACTCCTATAGTTTAGGAACCATTCTTCACGCTACCTGTTGTTGTTGTACCAATAGTGCAAGGCACTGTAGTAACAGCACCTATGTTAGTTCTTCTGTGGCAACAATGAATGAGCATGAGGAACCTATCCTTCAGGATCCCCAAGAACCCATTGTCACACATGAGGGAGAGCAACAATAGCCTCATGTAGAACAAGCATCATCTAACGAGGCCCCTAGAAGGTCTCAAAGAGTCAGGAGATCAGCCATTCCTGATAATTATGAAGTTTATGAATGTGAGGAATTTCAAATGGAGGGTGATCACACCTCAATTGAAGAAGCCAAGAGAAGCGCTCACTCATCCAAGTGGCTTGAAGGCATGGAAGATGAAATGAAATCAATGAAAACCAACGGAGTTTGGAACTTAGAAATAATTCCTAAAGGAGTCAAGACAGTAGGTTATAAATAGGTCTACAAAACTAAACATGACTCCAAAGAAAATATAGAAAGGTTTAAAGCGTGACTTGTAGCAAAAGGTTTCACGCAAAGAGAAGGCATAGATTACAATGAGATATTTTCTTCAGTCTCATGTAAGGATTCTTTTAGAATCATAATGGCGCTTGTAGCACATTACGACTTAGAATTACATCAGATGGATGTAAAGACGGCGTTCCTAAACAGGGATTTGGAGGAAAACGTTTAAATGGCACAACCGAAAGGTTTTATTGTGGAAGAAAAAGAACGCATGGGATGCTGCCTGAAGAAATCCATTTATGGATTAAAGCAAGCTTCAAGACAGTGATATTTGAAGTTTGATAGCACAATAAGAAAGTTTATGTTTCAAGAAAATGTAGAGGACAATTATGTTTATGCAAATTTCAAGAATGGAAAATACATTTTTCTAGTCTTGTATGTGGATGACATCTTGCTCGCTAGCAGTGATGTCAATCTACTACTAGAAATAAAGAAGTTTTTGTCCTCAAAGTTTGATATGAAGGATCTCGGTGAAGCTTTGTTCGTCCTAGGAATAGAGATTCACCAAGATAGAGAAAATGGGGTTTTAGGATTATCACAAAAGGCATACTTAGAAAAAGTTTTAAAGAAATACAGTATGCAAAATTGTAAGTCATCACCTACTCCCATAGTCAAGGGCGACAGATTTGGGGAATTTCAATGTCCCAAGAACCAATATGAGATCGATCAAATGAAAACGGTTCTATATAGTTCAGCTGTCGAAAGTTTACAGTATGCTCAAGTGTGTACTCGTCCTGACTTAGCATATGTTACTAGGTTGCTTGGCAGATATCAGAGTAATCTAGGAATAGAACACTGGAAATTAGTAAAGAAAGTTTTATGTTACCTGCAAGGTACGAATGGTCTCATGCTAATGTACAGAAGTTCTGATTCCCTGCACATAGAGGGGTACACAGATTCTGATTATGCGGGAGATGAAAGAAAGTCCACGTCAGGATACATATTCACTCTCGCAGGAGGAGCTATATCATGGAAAAGCTCAAAGCAAACCGTCACTACATCGTCCACAATGTATGCCGAGTTTGTAGCATGTTATGAGGCCACAGGGTAGGTGAATTGGCTAAAGAAATTCAGGCCCGGGTTGAAAGTGGTAGATGACATACATAAACCACCCAAGTTATACTGCGATAATAATCCAACAATATGTTATGCTCATAACAATAAGTCAAGTGGTGCTGCCAAACACATTGACATAAAAATATTATGTTGTGAAAGATAAAGTGTGGGATCATATAATTAGTCTTGAGCATATAAGAACAGAAAAGATGCTCACGGATCTGTTTACAAAAGGCTTACCACCCAGCGTGTTTAGAGAACACTTACCGGCATGAGGTTAAGGAAAAGCCTATGATTCCTGGACAATAAAGGCCTAGTTAAGAATCTGTTTCAAAACAAAGAGGTGCATTGTAGCTATTTAATCTAATGGCAAGAGACCGTTACGATGAGACACGCTCTATGCATTGATCTGTGATAGAATGGGAACAAGAGAAAGTAAGTAAGTTAAGTTTAAGTTATAGATGAGATCAAGGGGGACGACCAATTGGATCCTTGGATCCGCGCCCTGATCGGAGGCGCCCAACCCTAATATGGTTGGTGGGCTCCGTCGCACAGCGCCATAAATAGGAGGTGGGGGCCGGGGGCGCCAGGCACGAGGTTCGCCTGAGCCGCCTAGCACCCCACCTACAGTCCTAAACCCTAACTGATCACAGAGGGGGCGCTGCCAGCGACGGAAAGCACCGCCACTGGCCAACGCTGCAACTGCACCGCCGTCCTTCGACATAGCACCGCCACCGGGACTTCACCAAGCACCGCGATGGCGAGCCCGTCTTCCTCTAAGACGGCTGATGATTTGCACCCCCTTTATCCCTCTCTTCCTCACTCTATTTATTAATCCAGTACTTAGTAGATGCTTCTATGACTCACGATTTATTTAAGTGCAAATAGATATGCTAGATTTATATAAAGAGATCCTGCTTTTAACTCGATCACATCAATCTCAGTCGGAGAGTCGCCAGCCAAACCCAGGCGTCGACCATTAAACGACCTGCTGTTTGGTGTCTTCCCCTTTTTGGCCTGGCCTACCACTAGTACTTTTCAACCCCGTCGTCCCCTTGAGCTCCCTCCGCTGCAGGCCTAGCCTCTCCAGTTCCGTCCAGCCTCCAGCAGGCCAACCGCCAACCTCACCTTCCCCGCTCCACCGCACTACCAGTCCATGACCATGTCCAGTCCTACTCTTTCTACTTTTCCGCTCCACGCACATCCACATGACCACATGCATGCCCACGCGTACACACATCTGCACTGCACACATCGTCTTCCTCACCGCCATGGCTGATGGCCCGTATACTTCTATATAAATAGCAACGGCCGACGACCGACTCGATCACCAAGCTAGCGGACATCGAGAAGCCAGCCAGCCATGGAGTATTACTCTCCTCCTGACCTCGTCGTCGCCCTTGCCGGCTCATTTATGGACACCCTCTTCGTGCTCGGCCAGGAGTCCCGGCTGCGCATCCTCCAGCAGGCAGCGGCGCGCGTCCCCGGCTGCGCCTACCTCTGCGCCTGGGCCGCCATCCCTGCCCAGCCCCACCACCCAGCTGCTTCGTCTTCTTCCTCTACCTCGGCAGCAGCTGCCACCAGGTACCGTACCTAGCTAGCTACACAGCGTGCATGCATTCGCAATGCATCCGGATTTGAATCGATCGATTGGCCATGGATGATTGAATTGATATTACGTATGCCCGCAGCGCCCGTCTTCTGTGCTGCCTCGACGCATGGCTCTGCGACGGCGGTGGTGACCGGTCCAGCCTCGGTGACGCCCGCCGCCTGCGCGCGCTCTTCGACGCCTACCGGGGCTCCCTCTGCCCACCCGTCGCCGGGTGCGTCCACTATCTCTACTATACACCATGTGCACGTATGCATGCCGGCGACGACGACCCAACGTAGCCGCCGGCCGCCGCGCGGCGCGTCGATGTGCAATGCAACTTGAGATTTAATTTCAATTCACTCATCAGCTAGCCATGGCGGTTCTGCATGCGTGTGTGCCCGCAGGTGCGTGCCGGGGTGGGCGTACAAGGACGGCCGCGCGTACATGGAGCTGCCGGCGCACGACCTCTCATTCTCGACGTCGCTGCCAGTGCAGCAGCAGTTCTATCAGGTCGGTGTTGGTGCATGCATCTGTTGTACGCCATCGTCTTGTCTACTATTGCTGCATTTGATTCTGGACTTCTTTTTGTTGTTGATTTCCCTCGCTTCTCTTCATCCTCGAATTAATCCTGAGCTTGCTTCATTCTCGCTTGCTTGTGATGTTGCAGGAAGCTGGCATCAAGGTTTGTTTTCTTCATCACCTCATATATATGATCACATTTTATATATATGTATATACTCGATCCTGCAATAAAGATGTATATATAACTTCAGTATACACATGATCATCGATTTCTTGGGAATTGGCTTGCGTAGATGGCGGCGTTCATGGGATGCGAGAGCGGCGAGATCGAGATCGGCATGTCGACGGCGGCAAGTAGCGGCGGATCCCCGAGGAGCCTGGAGTCCACCTTGCAGCAGGTTTTCTCGGAGGACTTCTTCCAGCAATCGCTGCTCGAGGAGCTGCTCCAGCTGCCACCGACGCGGCCATCGTCGCCGTCGTCCTCTCTGCCGTCCGTCTCCGTGGGCAGCCCAGCGGCCGATGTCTCGACGTCGCTCCAACGCACGGTGGCCGTGGCGCCGGCGCCGTCCTCCGTAGAGCGACAGGCGGCGCCGCCAGTGGCACCGCCTCCTCCGCGCCCGCCGCTCCCCTTCGTCCGGCACGGCGGGCCCGGCCACGTCTGTTTCCCGAGCGCCGAAGCCGACGACGCCGCGATGGCGCAGGCCATGCTCGACGTCATCTCCGCCTCGTCTTCCTCGGCGCTGCCCACTCCGCCGTCCACGGCCACGGCGCCTCCTCCTCCTCCTCCGGGAAACCACCACCGCGCGCGGCGGTGGGGTGCGGCGACGGAGTTCCGGGCGTACAACGCGGCGCTGGCGCCCAGGGCGCCGTGGCGGCCGCCTGGCGCGCCAGGGCAGCGCATGATCAAGATGGGCATCTCCATCCTGAGGAGGATGCACATGCTTAGGTTCAGCCGGGAGCGCACTGCTGGTGGCACCACGACCATGGCGCAGCGGGGACGGGAGGGAGAGGATGACCCGTCATCGTCGGCAGTGCCGTCGAGCAGCCAGCTCAACCATATGATATCGGAGCGGCGGCGGCGGGAGAGGCTCAACGAGAGCTTCGAGGCGCTTCGAGGCTTGCTCCCGCCGGGATCAAAGGTAATATAAACTCCGCAATTACAGTATATGATGAATGGCTTGCTTGATTATATTGATCTTTTAAAAAAGAGATGATTTGCTTGATTAATTAATCCTTAATATATATATATATATATATATATATATATATATATATATATATTGTTGTGTAACTCCATTTTTGTTCATAGAAATAGAGTTGCTTTGTTTGTATGCATGAAATACTACACATTTTATACCAGTGTATTTTGTTTTCTTTATTTAGTTTGGACGGCCATTTTGATATACTTTATTAGACATACACTTTTGGTGCGTACTAGTTTTAAGGTTGTAGCAAAAAAAAAGGTAGCTTAAATCTGGCTTAATCACTGTTAATTTTACACTAATTTGCTTGTGCATTCCATTGTTGACAATGTAGAAAGACAAGGCTACCGTGCTGGCCAAGACGCTGGACTACATGAACATTCTGGTAGCCCAAATAGCCGACCTGGAGGCGAAGAACCGGAGCCTGGAGAGCCGAGCTCACCACCACCATCGGCACGCCAATGGCGGCTCGTCGTCGTTGGAGCAACGAGTAGTGGTTCTGCAGGGGCTGATGAGCGGCACGCCGTCGTCGTCGGAGAGGGTGCAGGTCCACGTGACGGGCGCCGGCGGCGACGTCAGCGGCATGTCGACCTCGTCGTCGTCGTCAGCGGGACTGCCGCCGCCCGGGCGAGAGGTGGTGACCGTGCGTGTGCACGCGCGGGTGGCGCAGGGCGACGTGGCGGAGCTGGTGGCCCGCGCGCTGGCCGTGATCAAGGACATGGGGTGCTTCGCGGTGGTGGCCGTCAACGCCGGCCGGCCCAGCGATGGCGGCGGTGATGTTGCTCAGGCCACCTTCACGCTGCGAGCAACGGTAAGCTTATTATTGAATTCATAAAAGTATAATAATACCTATATAATTACACTCTAATTTTCGTTTGTGGGTCATGGCCATGCATTTAAAAAGCTATATGGACGCACACGTTACAGACTCGTTGAAAGGTTGATTGAACCACACGCACGGTTCCTTATAAAAAATAATCCAAATTAAACTAATTTGAAGGAAGAATGGCAATGCTGTGGTGGGTACTAGCAGCATTTGAGAAGCTACTTCAAGGCTTTCAAAATTGAATAAACGGACAAATTCAAGTTGAGACTAGGCGGCTAGCTTTCACTCGTCAGTCAGACTGTGTTGTACTGTACTGTACGTAGTATATTTGGTCGTATTTACAGTCTGAAACTGGAATTTCAAATCGAATTATAGTAAAATTAAGTTGTGTATGTATGTATGTATGTATGTATATTGCAGGCGGGCGAGTTCGACGCGGCGTCGCTGAGGGAGGCTGTGAGGAAGGCTGCCGAGGATTCCGCGACACCGCCGTCGGACGACTCGTAGACGGCCGGCGAATCGACTCGCCTGTTCGTTCTGGTTCTGCTGACCAGAGGAGCGACGGCCCGACCCACCCAAACCCAATCCGGAGGCGCCCGTTTTTGTTGCCTCGTCTGTCGTGTGGAGCGTGCGTGTTAAATTAAACGGAGACATTTTCCCCTCTCCGCCGGGCGCCGGCACAACACTGCCCTGATCGAATCTTTTGAGATCAATGCAGCTGTAGGATTCGATTTTTCGAAAAACTCTATGAAAAAAATTGAGGAATATGTATGTATAGATATACTATAAAAACTTATTTAAACCTTATAGAAAAATAATAAGAAAATAGCATATATGAGTGTGATTTAAATAAATCACTATGTCATTAGTATCACATTAAAAAACCAGTGAGGAAAAATATTGGAGATACGACATATAGTTTACTTCCTCAAAAACCATTTTAGGAAAAATATGAGGAGCAATATAAAGTGATATATCGCTAAAACTCCTATAAAAACCCAGTGAGAAAATTAGAAGAAAATATGACGACATATTATTGGTATTGTCTCTTGGATAACTCACATGAAAAACCTTTTTCAGGAAAAAACTACGGATAAGTTGTGAGGGCAATATGTGTCTTTGATATTTTCCACAAAAACCCCGGTGGGAAAAATTGGAAATATGACACATGCTTATGTTAATATTACCTCATTAAAAACTTTAACAAGAAACCTTGTAAGTAAAACTTGTGAAAGAAAAGAGTATAATATGATGCTGGTACATGTCAACATTTAGGAGATGTCTTCCCCTGATTCTAGTAAATCTCGAAGTCGCCACATACCAATTCCATATAACAATTTTTGAAACACAGAAGTTGATAAGGACTTAGTAAATAGGTCAGCGAGATTATCACATGACTTGATTTGCAAGATATTTATTTCCCCGTTTTCTTGTAATTCATGGGGATAAAACAGTTTAGAAACAATATGCTTAGTGATATTGCTCTTTATGTAACCTGATTGCATCTATGTAACCCAAGCGGAATTATCTTCATAGATAATTGTAGGTGATTCAATTGAACCAATACCACATGACTGTTGTATATGGTTAATCATTCTGCGAAGCCATACACATTCTCGTTATGCCTCGTATAGAGCAATAATTTCAGAATGATTAGTAGAGGTCTGCTTAGAAGACTTCCATGAAATAGTCGTACCTCCATGTAGGAATACAAATCCTATTTGGAATTTTTCGTTATGAGGATTAGATAAGTACCCTGCATCAGTATAACTAATCATACTGGGATCATGATTTTTCTTGAAGAATAAACCAAGATCATTTGTGCCATTAAGGTATCTAAGGATACACTTCGTTCCCATCTAATGACGGCGAGTTGGGTCCGCACTATGCCTAGCCAGTAAGTTAACTACAAATGCAATATCAGGCCTGGTGCAATTTGCAAGATACATAAGTGTGCCAATGACACTAAGATATGGGATTTCTGTTCCCAACATCTTTTCTCTAATATCCCGTGGTCTAAATGGATCTTTCTCTATTTCTAAGGAACGAACAACCATCGGAGTTTTATTAGGGTATGATTTATCCATATTGAATTTCTCCAATATTTTCTGGATATAGGCTGATTGATGCACTAAAATCCTTGAAGGACGATGCTCAAGTTGTAAGCCTAGGCAATACTTGGTCTTACCCAAATCCTTCATCTCGAATTCCGTCTTTAGATGTTTGCGTGCTTTTTCTATATCCTTTGGGCTGCCAATGATATTTAAATCATCAACATACACGGATATAATACAAAATCCCGTTCGAGATTTCTTAATGAAAACACATGAGCAATCATCATTGTTAGTGTATCCTTTCTTTAGAAGGAATTCACTCAGTCGGTTGTACCACATTCATCCCGACTGCTTTAAGCCATATAATGACTTTTGTAGTTTTACACAATACATGTTACGATTTGCGTTTGGATTCAGAATTTGGATTCCATGGGGAACCTTCATGTATATGTCCGAATCAAGTGACCCATATAGATATGCTGTCACCACATCCATCAACTGCATAGATAGATGATTTTGAACTGCCAATGATATTAAGTATCGGAAAGTAATTCCATTCATTACTGGAGAATAGGTTTCATTGTAATCAATGCCGAGTCTCTGCGTGAACCCTTGTGCTACTAGCCTCGCTTTATATCTCACCACCTCATTGTTCTCATTCTGTTTCTGGACGAAAACCCATTTAAAACCTACAGAAAAGACTTTGGAAGGTGTAGGTATTGTAGATGTGAATACCCCTCTTCTAGTGAACGAAGCTATCTCAACTTGAATTGCTTCTTTTCATTGAGCCCAGTTCGAGCGCTTTTTGCACTCTGCCATGGTCTTAGGATCTGGATCATTGAGAAAGATTTCTGTAATTGCTGCGGAGAAGTACATGTCGACAACAGTAGTCTTACGATCGTATGATTCTCTAGAATCTATGTAATTGATGGAAATTTCTTTCACCCCATTATTTGACTCAACATTTCCCAAAACTATGGCCATTATTTGACTCAACATTTCCCAAAACTATGGAGTCAGGATGTTCCGATATCCCATGATCAGAATTTGGATGCACCGTTGATCCAGGTTGTGGATTTGGTCCTGGTGTTGGATTTTTATCTACTATTGGGTGTCTACCAACTTGAGGTTGGCTTGAATTTACTGATTTGAAGGATTTAGCCCTCGATATCCTCGGACGCTTACTTGTAGCATTATCCTTAGAAGTGGCCGTACTTCTTCCCCTCTTCTTTGAAAGTGGGAGTTGAATGGTTTTTATTGGTACCTCCACTCTTTTGGATGCATTGCGAGCATGATAAGAGGATTTAGTGACACTCTTATAATCAGTAAATGCTTCTGGCAGATTATTTGCAATATGTTGCAAGTTTATGATTTTCTGAACTTATTGTTCAGTCTCTAGAGTACGTGGACCTGAGGGGGGAATGCCTTGGGCATTTCAGATGATTTCCTGGCATTCGTTTTGGTACTTGAAATCTCTCCCTAATGTTGGGAAATGGTCCTCATTAAATATGCAGTCAGCGTATCGGGCTGTGAATAAGTCCCCTGTAAAAAGCTCGATGTATTTGATAATTGATGGAGATTGATATCCCACATAGATACCAAGTTTTCTATGTGGGCCCATAGAGGTATGCTTAGGCAGTGAAATCGGTACATATACAGCGCAACCGAATTTTCGCAGATGGGAAATATTTGGCATATTCTCACGTATTAATTGCAATGGGGAGACTACATGATATGCAGTTGATCGCAATTGAATTAAGTCAGCAGCGTGTAAGACTGCATGACCCCAACATGAAGTTGGTAGGTTGCAATTTTGTAATAATGGTCTTGCAATGAGTTTAATTCTCTTAATAAGAGATTCTGCTAAACCATTTTGTGTATGGACATATGGGACAGACTGCTGAACTTGAATTCCCAAAGCCATACAATAATCGTTGAAAGCCTTTGAGGAAAATTCAGCAGCATTGTCCATTTGAATTGATTGAATTTGATGTTCAGGATTATGTGCTCTAAGTCTAATAACTTGAGCAATTATTTTTGCAAATGCATGGTTACATGTGGACAAAAGACACACATGAGACCATCTAGTAGATGCATTAATTAGAACCATGAAGTACCTGAACGGCCTAGACGGTGGTTGTATGGGGGCCACAAATATCTCCTTGAATGCATTCAAAAAATTTTAGTGGCTCATTTTGGATCTTAACGAGCGATGGCCGTACGATTAATTTCCCTGTAGCGCATGAAGTGCACATAAAATCTGAAGATTTAGGGAATTTAGCAGTATTTAACTCATGACCATTAGAATTGCTGATAATTTTTCGCATCATCCCTATACCAGGATGGCCAATGCGTTCATGCCAAGTTTTGAATGCGTCAACATTCTGAAAAATTATCTTGTACGCAACATGCGGTATGGGTTTGATGTATGTGTAGTACAATCCAGAAGGAAAAGAGGGAATTTTCTCAACAATTCGTTTTCCATATCTGCTATTTTTAGTAACAAGGAAAATTTTCTCATTATTGTCATCATGGGTTTCTATATGAAAATTATTTTGACGGATATCTCTATAACTTAACAAGGTACGTTTTGAATCGGGATACAATAATGCATCCTCAATTGTAATTTGGGTACCCATGGGGAGTACAATAGTGGCACGACCAGAGCCAACTATTGTAGCATTGCGTCCGGCGATTGTCAAAACATTTCCTTGTCTTTTTGTAAGAGTTTGGAAATACTTTGTTTCTCTAAGTATAGAATTAGTGGTACCACTGTCCACAAGGCATAATTCCTCCTCCATCAGATTTAAACTGTATATAAATAAAAAATTTGATATGAAACTCTTTGATGATATATAGAATACATACTTTATTTATTGAATATTAAATATGTACAATACATCAAATGTGTACAATACATTTATTGGGTATTCAAACTAAATAGTGATGACATTATTAAATATTTACAACACATAGGACATAAATTATTTTAACTATTATAATCACTAGGACATAAAGACATGAGAATCTAAGGGATTGGAAGCCTATTCAAAGTCTCCAAATATGTCGTTGGATGCATATTCCACGATCATATTCCCCATATCAGCAAGATCCTCGCCTCCTCGTATGTTGTTGTTGCTTGGTTCCATTGGAACTTGTTGTGAACAACTAGCCTCATTCCTGGTGGTGTCAGGTCGAATGTTGAAGTGGGCTTCATACTTCTGTCCTGGTGCAGCACATCCGTGACCCACAGACTTTAAGTAGAGATCAACAAGATGACTTGGGGTACGACATTTCTTTGTAGTATGGTTATAACAACCACACTTCTGACACACAGGTTTGTTATTCCTGTGTTTCGAAATGTTCTTACCATTGTTGGAAACATGAGTTTGGGATTTCTTATTGCGTCTGCGTTGTTTTTTTACCTTTCTTAGAATTTTCCTGAGGATGGGT